ACTAGATAACCTTAAAAGGTCCCTTCCAACTTAAACTATCCTCTGATTCTATATGTATGGAAGATGAGGCCATGAGATGGAAAATGTATTTAAATAATATTGAAGAACCTAACCTTTCCAAACTGTTCCAATCATAGACACATCTGCACCTGCCCCCACTCAGCCTCAATTAAATTTACTTCTAAATGGTATTGTGAAAGCTAAGCAGAGGAGAGTAAGGAAATACAAACTTTATCGATGTTAGCTACCAAGTGGCTAGAGCATCTTCTGGCAAAATGAATGTTGTCAGACTATACATGCTGAAACACGGAGCCTCACCACTTCTAGTGGTTAGGTCTAATATCCCTCTCCCATGCTCCAGCTTGCTGTGGTGAGCAGAGACCTTCTCCATGGCGCCGTGACCAAAGCCAAGTGCTAGCTGCACAGACACATTATTATTTCTGGCCCGTGAAGGCAGCAGGATAGTATTATTTCTGTTCATTGGTACAGGAACACAACGGAAAGGGAGAGTGGAAAAAACCCCAACAACAAAAAAATATGCATCAGGATGTCCAAATTTGATTATACCCATGCCTGGCTACAAATATTTATATTTTCTCTTACCTCTAATGTTTAAACTATAGAATTAAATAATGAAACTTTCAGAAATATAGCAGAAAGTTCAAAATTGAGCATGTATTTTAACTCTGAGTAGGCACTGTTCAATGAAAGAAGTTGAGGAAGGAAAGCATATAGACAATCAGCTTGTGTAGTTTAGGATATTTATTGACGTAAACTGCAAAAATTGTAAAATAACTTGGGAGTTAGAATTGTTATGATTGCCTTGCTCCTTAAAAAGCAATTATAGTAGCTTAAAAATTGGTATGCTGCTTTTCTCTGGTATTTGACGACAGGAGATGAAGACAGCCTTTACACTTTGCAACAGGTTTTCTGAATGCTGTAAGCACTGCCAGTCAAATCCGATTTTGCTCATTCGAAGACTTCAGTTCCTCCTGTTGAGTTTACAGAACTACTGTTTGTGCATGTTTATGTGCAAATGCTTACAGAGGGACGACAGGAATCACTTACAGCACACCAAGAGAAATAAATGTGGCCAGTTTAGCTAACAGTACAGGCAACAGCCTCCTGTAAATTTCAATTCTTATTGAGATGTGGATGTGAACTAAAAGGTAAGACATAAAGGAGGATTTAAAGATTGGCAATACTGTTTTTAAACAAGAAACTTCAATTAGAGAGGTTCCTCATGGCCTAACTGTAAGACTGGAGACAGAGAACACTTAAGAAGTTGCTACTGCACCTGAAGGGCCAGTGAAGAAGTTACCTGAAAGAATTCTCCAAGTCCTCTTTTGTCACTCTGGGCTTTCTCAAGAGCAGGCTGGCTCTTTCTTCTTTGAAACTGCTCGTATCTTGTAACAGTGGATACACCATCCAGAAACCTGGTCTTGTAGAGGACGTTTGCGTTGCTAAACATTCCATCCTTCAAGGACACCACAACAAACTAAAACAAACCAAAAAGCTTAAAGTAAGTGCTGCCATCCAAATAAAGACTGCAAAGAGCATTGGAAAAGTCTTCTCTAAAGAGGATTCCTTTCACTTTGTTTGGCTAGTATCTTGGTGGTAATTCTTCAAAAGAACATTGTAAACATACAGAAGCCCAACAGAATGTACCAAGCAGAGTAATGTACACCCGCAGGCCAGACATTTTCTGCAGCTAACGATGTACAGCTCTGTCCATATCCCAGCGCTTCACCTGGAGTACAGGCCACAACACAGGACACCCATTCATGGTGCATCAGTCACCAGAAAAAATGTTGCCATGAATTCTGCAAGAATTTCATAGTCTAAAGATATCGCTCAAATTATTTTACAATAATGGTAACAAATGCTCCCCTCCCCTCTCTCACAATTTGGAAAGGTCATGTCTTACCACCAAACAGAGATAGGTACTTGCCTTTCACTCAGGATAGTAAGTTTCTTCAGTTCTACATATTTTTTTCATACATATGCCACAGTGATACAGAGATTCTTTCTACTAGGTGTCTGGCTTATTTCAACAAGGTGAAAAATAAAATATTTTTAAAGCTCAAGTTAAAGAACTTTAGCAAAAAAAAAAAATTCAGGATGTGGGTCATGCCTGAAATTGATCATAGCACAGATACTCTTCCCTATTAGTACCTGTTTTTTAGCCACTGCAGCAATGGCTTACATTAAAATGTAATGCTTGGAAGTTTCACAGTTGCCATTATCATGAGTGTAACTTCCAGCTGAAGCAACTTAGAAATACAACACACATCTCTGGAATAAAATACTTGAACAGCAAAGGCTCCTCAGTGGCAGACCACCTCTGAAAATAATGAAGTGTATAAAGAGATGATCACAATAGTTTCAAGATCATACCTGGGAGTGCCTGAAATGAGTTTGGATCATCTGCCCAATATTCTGGGTATGAGAGAGATCAAGGGCTGCATCCACTTCATCCAAGATGTAAATTGGGGCAGGTCTGAAGAGAAGCATGGCTAAGATCAACGCCAAGGCCACCAATGATCTAACATAGAGAACAATAAATTTATGTTTTATCCTCTTGTTTGAGAGGCTTTGGCTTATAAAAACAATTGTTTGGTAGTAACAAAATGCTCTCTCAAAAGCAGGTTCATGCTGTAAGTTCTGAAGAGACAGAATGACAGCTTCTGCTACAACTTCTGACTTCAAAATATGAAGCCTTCTGCCAGAAATGGAAAATGTTACTTACTCCTTTATTGGAAGATCAGGTTAGTTGGGTGTTGATACTCAAAATCATGCTGTTGCTTTACCTATTTTCAATTCTGAGTTTTGCAGTGCTTCTTTTCAACATACAGTTCTTGAAGCATTCTGTCCTTCAGGAAGTTCTACATCTCTGTCTCACCTCTTCCTAAATTCTGTTTCTATTTTTCAATTTATTAAATTTTTCCCTTAGAAGTTGCCAAGAAGCACATACCCTACAGTAGCTCTAATGACTGGAGAAGAAAACTGTCACCATTACACTAATTTGACACCAGGGAAGAACTTGTCTATATAGATTTTTGAGATAACAACTCAAAGGCTGGAGCATTTAATTCAACAGTACCTCAATACTACCAAGAGTTAACTGCAGTTTTCTCACTACTCTATTCAGTTTTTTGTCACTTCTCCGTGGAGTAAAATCCTGTTTGTTACGACACGCCAAGTAATGCATTGTTCTAAGTTGGATTCTTCTTTGAGATGAACTGAATTAATAAGGCTTTCAATATTCAGTCAGGTTGGAAGGAGACAGAGTCCCTGGCCTGACTAGGGAAAAGATTCATTTTTTGCTTTTCTAAACTATAACTAGCTAGACATATCAATTATACACAGAAATGCAACAGAAAAACAAACAAAAAAACCCCACGAAGTTCACCAACCTTTGTCCTCCACTAAGTTCTGTTAAGTTTTCCTTCCAGGTGTTTCCTAAAGCAACTCTGAACTCCAGACCATCCAAGACATTCTGTTTTTCAGAGGGTACTAGCATAGCTTTGGCTCCTGGTAGAAGTGTTGAGAAAATGGAACCAAAGTCTTCATTCACCTAGAAGTCAGATCACAAGAGATATATGTACATGCTTTGAATCAAGAGCACAAACAGCTGAAAACTTGGTGGGAAGTTGCACTATGCTCTAGCCATCTTGCCCAATTTAATCCAATGACTTCTTATGTTTTGAAGATTAGCACATACAAGACAGTGAGAAAAAATTAGCATACAGAATCTTTTATTTCTTCTGTACTGAAAAGTGAAACAACACCAAAGGATACATATATAGGACACCTTATACTAACCATTTTAGAAGGATCAAATGGAAGAAATACTGGTAGGCTTCTTTGTGCTACCAGCCCGGGAAACAGTTATGCCCTATCTCAGATTTATTAACTGGTAAATGGTAATTTCCCCTAATTAAAGGGCTATTAAAAGTTTAAGTGCCTTGTAAGAGCCACACACTGGCATCCTCCCCACTCCTTTTCTTCGCAGGTACTGGATGGAATGCAACTTTGTAAATAGATTAAAATTTCCTAGGTCAAGTAATGTGTCCGAGAACACACTTATTCCACCACCCAGGACGCTTTTAAATACAATTCACTAATTTTTGCCGAACAAAATTTTTGCAATTAAAATATACCATTTTGTCAGTGATACTTTGAGTACAGGCAGTAGTAGTTAAAACTGATACTTCATTTGTGAGCAATTTAATCTTAGATATAATCAATCTTCCCAAAGGCTGAAAAGTACCAGTTCTCCTGGTACAGCAGAAAAGAATGTGTCAAGAACTTTCCATGTAGAAAGGAATTTATGTCTTAATCTCAAAGGTGAGATGAAACAGGAAAAATGAAGTGGTTGTTCCGTAATTTAAATACTAGGCAAGGCAGATCAGTTCTGGAAAGAGACATCTTTTTTTTTTTTCCCATGGAAATAGGAAAACAATAATCTAAGATAAATCTGATCCTCTGCTAAAATGTGAAGATTAGATTTCAAGTGTCATACCTTTTTCCAAGCAATATTTAAAGCTTCAGTTTTCTTGAGGTCAAGCTCTTTAATAGCTGCAAGAATTTTTATCTTGTCATTCTCTACAATTCTTTTTTTCTTCATTAAGTCATTGTACTGGTGCAATGAGAAGAAAAGATTGATTTCAATGAACTTTATGCTCAAATGCATTTTGTGCTAATCTTACAGATTCACTGTTTATTTTTATAACCATGAAATACCCATTAACCACAAGATTGAAATCCAAAGCATTCATCTAGCTGTATGGAGGATTTAAGTTTTAGGATATTATTTGTAAATTAAAGCACTAGAATTGTCAACAATTGGCAAAAGGGGAAGACCAACACCGCTCTGAAAGTTGCGCTTCCTTTTCAACTTAATCATGTTTCATCTGCCTTTCCACAGAAGAAAGGATGCTTCTGGAGGCTGATATGAAGAACAGGCCAGTTCTAATCATGAAACAATACTAGAAGAGTTGAAGTGTCAGTCTGTGGACAGTTTTGAGACAACCCTGGAATAGCCTCAAGATACAGATGAATTTGAGAAAACGCTGGAACACCTTTAAGCTATCATGCTTGAAGATGAAGAGTTTTTTGATCTGCAACCTTTGATAAAGTATGTAATTCTCAGATACTGTAATGGATACCACAAATCTTGCCTAAAGCTGTGCTGTCAACTGAGGATGGACTGGGCTAGGGAGCAATGAAATTATTCTTTTTACCATTTAAAGTCAAGATTACGCATAATCTAGAAAACTAGTGCACTAGTGAATAGTTAAACAATGTAAGATTACTATAAAAGATCTAACAAAAGGTTTCCTGTTATCTCTTGAAGATTTAGTTTTATTTTTGGTGTATCCAGAAATTGAGGATATGAAAATGTAAAGCTACATTATACATAATACCACATACCCAACCCACCCAATCTTCCAAAGTTAAAGCAGAGAATGTTTACCCTCTCTTCTGTCTCAGAAAGCATATTCATAGCTCTCATGTTCACACTCCTTCCCAGGTTCCCTTTTCTCTCTTGCAATTTCTGCAGCTTCTGACTTGCTTCTTTAGGATCATTAGTTTTGAAGTCATAGGCTGTGTTTGGCTGACCAAAAAGTGGTCTCTCTGAAGCTATCCACTCATAGTCTTTCAGCATTCTGGTCACCTGTAAACAAGAAGATATGTTGAGGCTTTCCCTCCCTCTCCATTCTCAAATGTGAACAAAAAAAACAAATAAAAAAAAAAATCAATATCCTGAAATTACTCTACAACATTAATTCTTCTATCCCAACACAGCACAGGTGTGTACCTTTACAACGCTTCATGTGATTTCCAAGACTGTACATGAATCTAGATTTTAAGGGAGCTTTCACATATACCCATCATGTTTACTTGTAGGACATTTTTCTATATGTAGACTAAGCCATGGTCACTAAATCTCAGGATTAGCTTAAGTAGTTAGACAATTTGTCCCTACCATCAGAATGTTCTTCTTGTTGATCACCTTCTCACATTGCGATCTACTCTCTGTAAGTCCACACCAATAAGCTCTGTCACAATTTACAATTTCCACCCCCTCCTCCTGGAATAAAACTTTTTATATAAAAGCACTGCAAAAATGACAGTGCTTATTAAGAAAAAAAAAAAGGGTATTTTCTTTGATATAGCAAGGGAAATAACCAGTCTTGACGACAAGATGCAAGCAAAAGCAAAGTTCTGAAATACCTTGGCAGCAGCATCAGCACACTCTTGTTGATGTTTGCTGATATTGTGTTCTAATTCTTTAACCTTAAGCTGTAATTCCTTATTTTGTTCTCTGTATTTTCCCATCTCTGCAGATTTGGCTGTAATTGCTTTATCCTTTAACGCTACTACTTCCTTTTCCCTGGCCAGCTCCTCCTGCAATTTCTCCACAGATTTCTGAAAAGCAAATCAAACGGTCATTTATTAACACTAGCCTTTGAAAGAAGCTAAGACAGTTACTAAAAGAGAAGGACAGCACAATGAAGGAGAAAAAATTCACATGTGGTAATGAAGCCAAAAAATAACTACCTAGGCTAAACATAATTGAGTGCTGGGCAAGAAAACCCAAACAACAAAGCACACATTATAATTTGAGCTTTACGGGATCATAACTTCAGTAACATCAACACAGACAATGAAACACAGAGTTCGCTTTTACCTTTGTCTTAGACACCTCAGCTGCCATAGCGTTAACTTGCTCCTGATAGGATTTGATTGCTTCATCTGCAGCCACTATCTGTTGTTCAGAGGAGGCCTGTTCTTGTTTTAGCTCTTCAAGTTCCAGAATTAAAGCTTCAACTTCCTAGAGAGTTTTCAAATTTATCACAGTTATACTTAACTGGAAAGAATTAAGATTCAAGTTTGACATAGTAAATGCCATAGAAGATTAACAGTACCCATTCTTCAGCAAGGGGACAATCTCACAAAAACACCAAACAAACAAAAAAACCCAAATCATGCAACAATAATTTCTACATCAGTGACATAATATATTAGAGAGTAATATATGAAGTTCCAAAACTGATGGTATTAAAACTTCAGGAGAATCAAACTTTACGATTACTGCAACCACTTTTGACATTGAGAAAATTGCCAGCAAAGGTTAAGTTTTACCTGCTGCTTTTCTTTCATTTCTTTCCTTGAAGCATCTGCCTTTTTCTTGGCATCATCTAGTTTTTGCTGGGCACTTTTTAGTTCTTTTTCATATTCTGCTTCTGCGTTTTTCATTTTATTCTCTAATACCTTGTATTTATCTTCTGCCTTCTTTTGGTTCTCTTCAGTTTTCTTTAATGTCTCTTCACACTCCGCTGAATCAAGAAGGACAGTACTGAGATTGGGCATTGTTTGTATTCTTCAAATTTACATCCTGAACTCCAACTGAAATAAATTTGTCTCTGCCTCTAGCAGCAAAAAGTGGTTGTATGTTTGATAGTTACTGAAGTCAGCTATTTCAATGATTGCTCTAGGACAGGGTGCTGTTGTTACCAGTTATTGGTAGGGCACCAAACAGACAACCAGTCATTAAAATTAATGAAACTAAACATTTTTTTTTTTTAAAGGGGCAAGTATATCATACGATCAAGAAGTAACTAATCAGACGGCTACCTAATAAGATATGACCTCATACCTCAAATACTATGTCTACATATGTATCACTTCTGGCCATCTCTTTCCTTTAGGAGTTTTACTTCTTGCTGCATTTGCTTCCTTTTATGTTTTTTCCTTAGCTATATGTACAGTACTTCTTTTCAATGCCTTCTTGTTATGGAAACTATTTATATTGCTATCCTTAAATATCTACAGAAACAGATGGCTTAGAAAAAACAAAGATTACGCAAATATGGGATTAAATAATTTTTAAAACTTCCCTGCAAAGCCATTTTTCCCTATATTATAAAGCATTTAGAACGCTTAAGAATGTAACTTTTACTACAAGAGAACAACCAACTCTATGCAAGTCTATTGCAATTCTGTATTTGTTACGTATTGCAAAATATAAAGCTGTATTTTCAAAGCTAAAAATATTTTTTTCTTAAGCAAAGATTCTGCTACTCAAACAGCCAAATATCCATCTCATCCTCAGCAATTAGTTTTCTGTTACAAAAGCAACAACACATTTGTCACCAATGGTTTTCTCCAGGTGAAGCAGCTCTTCCTCTTGTTTGTGATAAGCACTTTGATTAAGCTTCATTCGCAACAGCTCTGCCTCCTCTGACTTTATCTCCCACTGCTGCTTCAGTTGACGGTACCTTTAAGGACAGTAATGATATACACTGCTATAATGAAAGGTACCCAGCACTTTCGTTTCAAAGTTGAAGTAAGTAGATACAGAAATAAGTAAACAAAGAAATACTTATATTCCCATTCTAATGTGAGATACAGTGATGACTATAGGACAAATAACCTTAATTGCATGAAAGTCTGATATAATTTCTTTAATAGCAATTGTGAATTTTGTAGGTATGTAAGTTGTGACCTATATAACTCCAGGTTTTAACTCCTGAAGCCCCAATAAAGCATGTTAAAAACTAACAAATGCAACACATGGAATTTGGCAACAGTTCAGCGCTCGTGTTTTCCCAACCAGCAGCATAACAGGTGCTAGGATGAAGCATTAAAGAAAAAATATCTAAAAGTAAAACTAGTTTCTTCCTTTTGGCCACATTTCTGGAAGTCTATTACAACTCAAAACAATTTGAAAAATAAATCCAGCTTGTAGACAGCATATTACACAACACTACCTCTTTATAGGATTTTGACAGAGTTGACTAAATGTACTTCTATATTCCATCTTTTAAAAAGATCTTCTTTAATGGAGTAGCTGAAAAGCATATATAGTTAAAATTATTTAATAAATCCTTACAGCAGTATCACTCGGATATTCCCCTTTAGTATCTTTATGTATTTTCTGGGCAGAAAAATAAGAGCTATCACAAACTGAAATTCTGTATGGGTGTTACAAAATATGACTGGAGCTGATCCATTCCTCAGTGGACTTAACAAAACTTTGGAAAAATTCAAGTGATTTCAAGTATACATCACTGTATGCCATTTTTTCCCCTGTACTGCCCAAAATAAAGTTTTCTTGCCTGTGTTATCTAAAAGCTAAATTTGCTTGTTACAATTTGTTGTTTACAAATTAAACTGGGAGGAGGGAGAGGGAGGAAGGGAATAATTTTATGCATACTATATTCTCAACAGGTCCTATGCCCTCCAAAAATACTTCTTTATATTACATTTACTCAGTCACATAAGAGAAACGCTAGACATGTTATAGGGCAAACCTTACTTTTCAGCAACATTCTTCAAGCTTGCCAGCTCATTCTCTACAGTCTGTAGTTCAGATTCTTTTATCTTGAGTTCTACTTCAATGTTTTTAATTTCTTGAAGTTTAGACAATATTGGTACAGCCTGTGAGCACGCACCTGTTCAGTGAATAAAAAGCAAAGTCAAGCTAACTGGAATTAGACTAGTGGGTTCACCACTGGCAAATAGCAAATTCTAAATGTTAATAGTGATGCAGGTTGATGATTTGTTTTAATTACAAAACAGAAAGGCAGCTCAGCTAAACTTACAGTAGTTTTCAATGGAAAAAGACTATCTCTCTTATAGAACTTAGTTCTGCAGACTTTGAATACTACACATACATTTCTTGTGAAATCAACTAACTTTTCACAATTTATGAAATTAGCTCAAATTTATTACGAATTATTTCAAAGAGTGCTTGAAGTCAAAGCATTTCTCCTTCCAAGAGGATTATACAGCCAAATAAAATTTAAGTATTTAAAATCTAAACTACTTTATGCAAATAGTTTGCCATTAATTTTTTCTTAGTCTAAGCAATCTTATTTCAGCTTAAGACTGACAAACCTTTGCTCAAACAGATTATATTATCTCTGGTATGAGCCTAAACAATAAGGTTACCATTCATTTTCATAAAAAACATGCAGAACAGTACGGAAATCAACCAACACACAGTTATTACTATGTGAATAAAACTAGCAATTGCCTCCATGTAGGGTGCCCTGGGGGTCAAACGTATCCCCATCAAGTGTAACACTTCTCGTCATTATCCTTTTGTCAAAGGTCACTTTCTTAGCATTATCCATGTTATTACAGATCAGTGTTGTTCCAAAGACATATTCCATTGCTTTCTGCAGTTCAGATTCATATCCAACTAGAGAAAGGGCTAAATGCAGGTTATCAGGACCAGCCTAGAAATCAAGTGAAATACAATTAGTATGCTTTAAGTTGTAAGAATTTTCAAATTTAATTTCTGTCTTCTCTTGATAAAAAAAACTTTCTAAAAAAGTATAACATTTTAAAAAAATTTCAGTTAAAAGTGGAAGAATTAATACCCATTTAAACATCACATAGCTGAAAGGATACAAAGGAAAAAAATAAAATCAAGATACCTTGAAACCCTATAGAAATTCTTATTAGTATAACCATTAAGAAGCCCATGTTTTTAGCAGAGAAACAAAATGAAAAAGGTACATAAGCAAACCAGTGTAAATAGTGTTATTTATTTACATACCAAGGTTCGTGCCAACTTGACCTTGTCTTGTCCAACACACTTGGCTGAAATTTTGTTCAGTGGAATGATAGTGTATCGACGCTTTAGTTCACCCTTTTCTAAAAGCTTTTTGCCAGTAACCTCAAACAAGAAGAGTTACAAAGCATACTTGAATACATAACTGATTTTGTAAAATAAGACAATAGGGCATTGCAAGAGGAGTATATTGTTGCAAATAATTATGCATGACTCTCTTGACCTAATTTAAACATGTACCTGGGTCCAAATCGCCTCTTAAGCATGCAGTAATAATGCACATGCTCATTGTCACACAACCTCATGTCAACATTCAGAGCTCTGTATTAAAGTAGTAAACATACCTCTGTGTCCACAATAATGTTATAGAGTTTCCCTCCCGCCGCTGCTTCGAGGGCTTTTGCTTTGGATAGATCTTTCACAGTGATGAGACACACAACAGGGCCTTTCACACAGTTTGGATTCCATTTTTTTTCTGGATGTCTTAAAATTAAGTTTAATTATTATAATCACATTTGTTTCTCTCATACACATCTTAAAAAAATTGTATTTAAAAAACACATACTGCTTATTATATTGGTATAAGAAGTTCTAAATTTTATCAGGGAAAAAAATGCAGAAAATGGTTGAATTAAAGACTTCAGGACAAGAGACGTCCCAATAGTCACTTACAAAGTCATTAGAACAATGTCCTTCCTGATTTTAGTACAATTTGTTCACAGAATTGTCAACTGATTTTTACTATGGGTCCTATTATTAGCACAGATATAGGATTATGTTCCAAATTATTGTTACATAAGCAAATAAATCTGAGGATGCATATATTTGATTGTCAGAGACAGATAAAAAGTTGACCTCCACAGAGCAAGTCTACTCACAGTCCTCAGGCAGGACTCTGAGAAGTAATGATTACATATTTTTGCAGTTCAGACCTTTGAATTCTATGGTTTTAGCAGCCAAAGTTGAGTTATGGCTTGCAAACACCATCATACAAAACTTTTAAATTCTAGTGATTTTCATAAGGCTGCCATTTAAGAATGACTGTATTACTCTCCCTGCTGCCTATTAACTCAGTTAACATTTCCTGGCTTCCCCCCACCCCACTTTTACAGATAGGATAGACGTTATTCACTAGCACTATAAGGAAAGCAACAGCTAAGCAACGGATGGAATTATCTTCTAAGTCACATAAGCCATGCATGAAATGCCCCACAAAGCACTTTCAAACATCATTCAGGATCACACTGAGATCTTACCGGTATTCAAACTGTAGATGGGGAAACTTTGCCATTAAGCCTTCATACAATTCTCTCAACTGGCTGATGTCACAAGTCAATGCCTTCTTTTTTGCTAGAAGTGCTTCTTCTTTCTCTTCTTAAGAGTTGAACACAAGCAGTAGACAAAACATCCAGAGCACACAAATCTATTAGCTTGGAAAACTGGTATGCTACACTGTTTATATACATAGATGTAGAGAATACTTAATTGAAAGAGTTTCTAAGATGTTTTGTAGATTTCCAGTTTAGACAAACGAACACCATCACAATACCAAACATGCAAAGAGTTTAAAGTCTACTCTTCTTCTCTGTCACCTTGGAATATCAATTTAGAGTCTTGAGTAGCTTCTCAGTTCCTTCTTGTATTTGGTCCTGCTGGGATTGAGTTAGCTTTCCCCATAGCAGCCCTCATAATACTGTGATTTGTGTTGCTAGTAGAATGGTGTTGATAACACACCAGTATTTTGGCTAC